CTAGAAAGTCTAAAAGAAAACCTCTCCTTAGAACAAAACCAAAAAGAAAGAATGGGTTGATCCAAGCGATTATTGAAACATGCCTTGAGTGCAAAGGGTAGAATTAGGATCATTTCTGGGGTTAGAGATAGGACCATCTATGGAGTTTGATATACTTATGGTTATTTGGGTAGATGGGGTCTGTTCTTGTATGCGTAGGTTGGTTCTAACCTTTAGCATTCTACTAAAGCTCTGTCCATTCATGAGAGTTCCCTGTCGCTATGCAAAAGTCTGAAACCATTTACAGAGGAACCATCTTTGTTTCTCAGCCTTGTCCTTCAAACCAAACGAGTTCTTCAACAATGTTTTGCTTGATTCATGGTTTGAGCTTAATCAATGTTAAAGGGAATTGATGATCTGAAGGTGTGTGTAGATTGGAACAAATGTTAGGTTGTCTTGTGATGAATATGGCTAAAGTTTTATAGTAGAGTTTGGTCTCTATGCATTCCACAATTGCTAACTTGGACATTGAGTTCATTTGCTTTGTCTGCATGCTTTGGTTCTGAGTCCCCGCTTTCAAACCTCTCCTCCAGCTTGTTCTTAATTGTTTGCTTGAGGGCAAGCAAAGACTAAGTTTGGGGGAGTTGATATGTCTATATTTTACTTGTTTTGAGCATCCATTTAGCATCACTTTATCATCATTTCGTCATTGTTTCATACCATTCTTCATCATTTGTCATCACTTTGCATGATTAGGATAGTTTTGCATGCATGTTGCATATTTGAGTTGTTTTCAGGTGATTTGGAGCTGTTGGTGAGCTAATTGGAAGAAGTGGACCAGAACCCATCAGAATACTCGACCACGAGGTCGAGTACCATCGTTCCGGCCTTCCAAAAGCACTCGACTACAGCCTCTGAAGAAACCACTCGACCAACCACTCGACCAAGTACTCGAACGCATGGTCGAGTATCACCCTCTTCACCAGCTCGACCATGACTCCTGATCACTACTCGAGCACGCAGTCGAGTATCCTCCACCAACTTACTCGACCAAGCACTCGACTGCACGCTTCAGAGGCTTCTCAGATCCCAACTCAACCAGACACTGAGCATAAGGAAGAGAAGAAGATGAAGCGGGACTCGAGTGCATACTCGACCTAGTCACTCGATCGCATCACGACCAGATCAAGAAACCGCAAAGGAGCCAGCTTTGCTCGACCTCTTCACTCGATTGCACGAAGCCGAGTATCTCCGTAAACCGCCCTAATACTATGTCGTTTTGTGATTTAGGGTTTCCTAGTATTTGCTATAAATAGGTTGTTTCTCATAATTTTCAGACTAAGTTTTTCTCTGGAGAATAATTAGTGCTTTCTTCATATTTGTAATCCAGATTCCTCTTAATCTATTGAGTATTTGCTTTTGATTTCTTCTACAAAGTTGTTTATCTTGTTGAGATCTTGCTAATATGAAGTTTTTATGCATTTCTGGGTTTGTGTTCTTGGTGATGAATTTTGAGTAGTGATTAGGGTTCTTGAGGATGGGTTAGAGTAGCTTAGAATCCTTGATCTGCTAGGTGGTTGAGTTTGATTGGTAGATCCCTTCTGGATTAGTTGTTGTTAATGCTAATTTCTTTCTGATCAACTGGAATTTGAACCCAGACATTTCCGCACCCACAAGGTGTTCGATGAAATGTCTGAACCACTAATTCCAGAGATTCGTGGCTCTGTACCAAGGTATTGGTTACAGGGAGCGTTTTGGCTTAGACTTGTTGATTCGTAATGCCTGTTAGGTTAGCTCTCGTCAATGGTGATTGAGTCTGGGACTAGCTTTGCTTGAGGATCTCTGATGCGGTAGCACTTTGATTTGGTTATTGAACTTGTTGTCTAGGGATAGTTTGTTGAGCATGATTAACCACCTGTAGATTAAGGAGACTTCATTACTCGATTACCCTATCCTCGGGAATTTCTCTTCCAATTGATTTCTTTGTTTACATCGCTTTTGATTGCTTGATCTTGTTACTTGTTGCTCAGTTTAATCATTTCCACCCTGTTTCATTTGAAGTACTCGACCACACCCAGTAGTTTGGTAACAAACTGTGCAGTCGAGTACCCTGTTTACAGTTTCTGTTAAGTTACTCGACCTGATACTCGACCACACCCAGTGCTTGGTGTCAAGCTGTGTGATCGAGTATATTGCCTGTTTCTGTTAGAATTTCTGTTTTTGCATGATCACCTAGGACTGTTAGAAACACCAAAACCTGTTATTGCTTGGCTTGACTCTGTGATATCTGATTGCATCATGATTGCTAGCATCACACCCATTTGGATTGACACCTTTAAATACTACAATGACATGATAGTACTTTAAGGATAATTGATCTTAGTTAAAATCCTACTATCAAGAAACCAGAAGTCAGAAAAGAAAACAAATTGGGGCTGCCTTTTGATGCAGATAATTAGCATGCTTTTGTTAATCAACATACTTTGATAAGATGGTTCTGTTTGGTTTTGTGAATCTCACTGCTAAACTAAAGCCAACTTGGTCTTTTTATGGTTCTTTGACGGTTTGTTGATGAAATGCTAGCATGAACTTGATAAAATGCTAGATCAGCTTTTGTAATGGTCTGTAACTCTCTATTATGCAATGGTTTGTGTTGTACTGGTCTGTACTAGTAGCTTAAAGCAAACACAACTTTAACACAACTTTGTTCTTCACCTCGTCTACTCTGCTTTCGTTGTGTTCTTCTCGGATTTTTTCACACCATTTTTGCTACTTGGCTTCTGTAATTTGCAAGCAAGGATGTTTGAGATCCTCGTCTGTCGATTTTATATAAGTATGTCTCTTCTTGTGGACGAGCTGATTTTCAGTTCTTCCTGCATTGTGATTTCACGCGTTTGGCACTGGTACTTAAATGGGTTTTTGGAGCCTCCAAAAAAAAAACAAAATCGACAACAAGTAATTACCGAAAAACAAGGACTCTTATTGCAATTACGTGTTTACCAAGAATAGAAGCCCTAGATTATTACTTATATCTACTGGTCGTAGTTGTATACGCACGTTTAAGTTACCTGACAAACGTATGTGTACTATATAGAAAATTTAGTTGGCTAATTTTGTTAAAGTCAATATAGTTTCACGTTTAATGTAAAATTTAATAGTTTGGGAAGTTTATTTAAATTGTTTTAGCATTGAAGTTAAAATAGATATGGTGTCTTTGAGGTATAACAACGCACCACACGATTTGTTCCATTTAAATATACATGTGTTGTTTCCAGCTGTTGACACGTGGGCTTTGATGACGTTACAAACTTAAATATACATGTGTTGTTTCCAGCTGTTGACACGTGGGCTTTGATGACATTACAAACTTACAATTTCATTTCTTCTTGGGTAAACGATCTGTGTCCCCCTCGGAAGTTTCATATAGCACCAAAACTATATAGAATTCGAACCTCGATTTCGGTCCACACAAACGAGAAGTTCCAGCCTAGTTTCCCCTTAATTTGAAAAATCGAAACGTGGTTCCACATAGATGTTGGTTTTATTGGTTTATGACCTAAACCTAATACCAAACCACTAAATCTTATACCAAGCTGAAGTAAAACCGGTCGAAAAACGGAAGGTTATGAGAGAAGGAGGAGAGACGCGATTTCCAAGCTTCAGAGGACGGGTTTCGAGCGTTCTTCTTGGGGAGAGGAAGATGTTAGCGAGGCGATGAATCGCAGTTGGATCTAGGGAAGGGCGTATGAGGTTTCAATGGAGCATCTGGTGAAATACAATTTCGGCGTCTAGAGATTGATAATCACCATTAATACTGTTCCGACCTCAATCCAGAGCTTGAACCCGATTTAATTACAAAATTCGGGTCAGAATCAATCGTAATCACAACTTGCTCCTCCTCCGCTGTTAAAGATGATTCGCATTCGAAGTCTCAGCAGTTTCGTGTTGAGACTCAGGATCCCACGAATCGAAATCAGAGTTTCTTCTCGGAGACATCGAATCACGACGCTATCATCGATGCTTCTGCTTCGTTTGTGAGGGACATTTGAAGGAGATGAATCAGAGAAGAACCATGTGTTATTGTTGTTGATCGGCTAGAGAAAGGTTTGATTCTGAAGTTCTTCCATGTTTGATCTGTTTCTTTGATGTGTGATGCCAACTCTTTAATGTTGTTGCTACTCTCTCGTTGGACACTGTTGGTTTCATCTTTGAAACCATCTTCACAAAAAATCAATTCAAAAAAAAAGATCAGATTTTGAAATTGGAAAGTTATAATTTTTATGTGTTTGTTTGTGTATGTGTCATCTTCCTAAAGTCGTTCAAGTTGTATACTTCTTCTAGTATCCTTGATGAGATTAGCTTCAAGAGTGGATACACAAGTCCGATCGATCTAAATCAGAGATTCTGACTTATAGAACAGATCAACAGTCAAAGTAAACTTCCAACTTGGGACTGAACTAAGAGAGTCGAAACTCCGATAGAAAATCAAAATCGGAGGTCGACGACAAACTTGAAATTCTGATCGGAGACGGAGCGATGAATCCTAGAGTGTTGAATTTCTCTCGGTTTGATTTTGATTTTTGGTTTAATCCGATTTAGTTTTATTGTTATATGGTTAATGGTTATCTGGGCAACAGTAAACCAATTGTAAACCATGATTATGTGTTTCTGGGTTTTGAAATTTGAAATTAGGGAAAAACTGAACTGGAACTTTCAAATTAGGGGGAAAGTGGACTCGAACTTTCTGTTTGTGTGGACCAAAATCGAGGTTAGAATTTTGTGTAGTTCTGGTGCTATATAAAACTTGTGAGGGGACACTGATCGTTTACCGTTTCTGCTTCATCAAACAATGCTCTTGGGCTCATTTTGGGCTTAAAATGTTTCTTGTAATCTCAACGTGTGTGGGGCTTTTAGTTTTTTGGCCCATGTATGCTTTGATAACTTTAATAATATTATTGTGAGAAAAAAGAAACAAGCTTCGTTCGCAATCCCCAATTCGAAACCCTAGCCTTAGCCTGAGCTCCATAATCAAATCCACTTTGTCAGAGATCAAAGATGGCTATTGCACGAACTGGAGTTTATGTTGATGATTACCTTGAGTGTAAGATCAATAATTTCCTCTCCTTATTTGATAAATTTTGTCTAATGTTGATAAAAATCCGAACTTCAAAAATTTATTCGATTTTAGGGTTTTGATTCTACAATTCGGAAATTCAATTTCATGTAGATGCAAGCACTTTCCCTGCAGAGCTACAAAGACTACTAAACACAGTTCGCGAGCTAGACGAGAGATCTCAATGTAAAATGTTGTTATTACATTGTTACATTGTTCTCTTGCGTATGTTTCTTTGTGTTTTGGTGAATTGATTATGTTTCTGTTTTGTTGTTGGAAGCGCTTATAAATCAGACAAGGCAGCAAACTAAGTATTGCTTAGGGCTTGCTTCACAGAGTTCTAAAAAGGGTAATGGTAATCATTACAATAATGGTGGTCTTGATGAAGAGGAAACAATTGAGAAAATGCGTAAAGAGATCGAGTCTAGTCAGGAAAATGCGTTAAGTTTGTGTACGGAGAAGGTCTTATTGGCCCGACAGGCGTATGATCTTGTAAGCTATATGTTCCTCTGAGGCTTCCTTCAGATTACAGCTTAGACATCCAAATTGGTGGGATACATTATAATGGTGTGAATGATTTGTTGTCTGTCACAAAAACACTAGCATGTAATTGATGCATATGGATACGTACATGAATAGAGCGTTAATTCACTCAGAATCTTGAAAATGGTAGACTTTGTTGCTAAAATGGAATAGAGCTCCTTTGGTTGTTTCAGCCAGTTTTGTTGTGGTCGTAATTATTATGTTTATTCCTGTTGCAGATAGATAGTCATGTAAAACGACTTGATGAAGATCTGAATAATTTTGCAGAAGATTTAAAGCAAGGTATGTGATGTCAACACAAGAGCTGTCTAATTACTGTCATCTTAAGGGAATTGATTAGAACTATGTTTTTTTTCATATTCTAATGCTTATTAACAAAAATCATTCCAAGAGTTATGTAATGATGTAGGTCAATTGATTGATTGAGATTAATCGGTTGGTAATTGATTGAGCATGCCATGTTAGGACAGAATATGAAGCTAATTTATAAACTCCTTTATCTTTACTAAAAGCTTGATGAGAGGGTTATGCTGCAAAATTAGAGTCTTACATGAGAGGACAAGGGTTCTACACTTTGTTGGAGGATACTCTCGGGTATCCTTGCAGCAAGAGTCAATCTCTTGTGGGGAATCCTTGTATACGTCTTGTTTTATAAATAAACAGTCACATCTGCTTATAGCTCTTGTAAACGACCTCTAGAACAACCCCCTAAGGGTTAGTAAAAACATATGTTCCACCTGCATAAACTTCAGTCAGTGCACATCGATTAGTGTCAAGCTTCAGAGAAACATTAATGCTCATCTTCAATCTTGTCAAATCATAAGTGGTGTTACTTTCATTTTCTCTCGTGGTCATACGGTTAACTTTTAAATGATGCATTGAATGAAGTAGTTAAACTTTTTCAATATCATATGTTTATTCTTTTGTTACTCTTCTCTACCAGAGGGAAAAATACCACAAGACGAGCCCTCCGTTCTTCCTCCACTACCTATAGTTCCCAAACCGGAAAAGCGTAAGTCCTTCTATGGCACACCTCAGTCCAAGAAGATTGATTACAGAGATAGGGAGTGGGATCGTGATAGAGATTTTGAGCTCATGCCTCCTCCAGGAAGCAATCGGAAAGACCTCATGCCAATCGAAGAGCAGCCAATCGATCCAAACGAACCAACTTACTGTGTCTGCCATCAGGTCCTGAATGATTCTGCAAAATCTGTGAGTTGCTTGATCTTCTTGTGATCTTTGGTTAACATTTTTGTTATTTGTTTCAGGTGTCCTTTGGAGACATGATTGCCTGTGACAATGAGAATGTGAGTCTGTTCTGCTAGCATCTTAATTTCTAATTTCAATGAATAGCTATTATGAAACCTTTTTATCGTTTTCCTGTTTGGACAGTGCCAAGGAGGTGAATGGTTTCACTATACATGCGTTGGCCTCACACCTGAGACCAGATTCAAAGGGAAATGGTATTGCCCCACCTGCAGGCTCCTCCCACAGTCACATTAATATCATTCCCTGTGACAAGGTATTGCTTTAGTTTTAGCATCAATCATCAGAACTAAGGTATCCTCCTGCAATTCCCATGCATTGTGTAGCTAATATAATTCTCATAGGTGCCAATGGCATCTTCCTTGGCACCTTCGCTTCATGAGCAGTGTCACCAATCTCATCTTTCTTGCTACGCAGCATCTAGCAAGTGCAAGTAGAAGCAAACTTTAGATGGAGAAAACATCATGTTTTGTACACCTTGGGTTAATTCTTGGATCTTATATTTTGTATATCAATTGTAGTTGGGTGTTGGTGGGTATTTTCCGTTTTATTCTACTAGTATCGATATTTTCATCTGCTTCTCTTTTTCCCTCAAACCATGAGCCTTTGTATTGATCAAATGACATGTACAAAGTTTTTGTTCATCACAAGGGATTTCATGAAACTTGATATGAGCAAGAGAATCCCTTGTGATCAGAAAGTTTGATGATGTCTTTCATGCAGATCGATATAGTGTGCTAGATAAGTTGTTGTAGGAGTATTAGTGGCTTACTCCCTTAGTTTGAGAAGGTCCAGTACTTGTTTTGAGTTCATGAGGAATACTGATATTATCGTAGTTTAGAGAGGAGAGATGCTTCACAACATGAAATAGTGCAAGCATTTCCCCTTTTGCAGCATTTGATAGTTACTGAAAGCTCTCTTGACTCCGGATCATCCTTTTGATTAATGTGCTAGAGCCAAGCTATCCCAATTGATTCCATATCATTTTCCCAGGACGCATCTGCAGTAATATTTTTCTTGGCCTTAATGATGGGGATTGTGTAGGAGCTTTCCTAGATTTCCATATCTGCCATGTTAGGAGAAAAAAATAATCCCGAGGAAGAATGGAGCATAAAAAACCTTCTGAAACATTTGAGGATATTATAGAATGCTATTGAAAGTATTTACCATGGGGTGTAGGAATTTGGAAGTGTTCTTTGTTTACCTGGCTCTGTGAACCCAATTTTGGATACAAAACAGATTCGTAAAACAATTGTTTATCGGTGTCTAGTTACAACTTTTTCCGGTTGCTTATCTTCTGACACAAAAATCTCCACCATATACGAAACATGAATGTTTAGAGCAGAAGTTAACCTATCGAAAGCATCGTTGTTTTGTTTACTCGAAGGGTAGTCTAAAATCACAGTGATTACAACACATTAGCTTTCGACGCGATGAGGATTCAGCGACAATGCTGTGTTAGGGAGTAAATCAAACTTCTACAATGCCAAAATCGAATCCTAAAAATATGTCAGGATTAGTCCGCTTTAGCCTTAAAATTGTTAGTATAAGTTGAAAACTCACTGCAACTCTATCATATTGACTTTCTTTATCATTTCTTTGAACTATATATATATATATATATATTTGAATACCAGAAGATTATGTGTCAAAGCCCGTAATCCATACAGATTCAAAGTCACATCATGTAATATTAGTTTATTCTCAAGCGTCATTCGAATTAGTGATCTCTATGCTTCACCTAAGATATTTATCCGTTGAGCTAACGACACATGATTATTTGAATTGTATTTCCATTGTCGTTGATAATATTTGTGGGCGATCTATAATCATCCTCTTTACTATATAATAAACTCAAATTCAAATCTAATAACACCAAAATAGCATTTATTAGTTCACGGATATTCACACCGTCTCACCTAAAATAATTTGAAAATGGCAGATCACTAGATCTAGAGACTAGAGAGAGGGAATGGGACCCAATGCAACAAATAAAGAGCGGTGATATTTCGAATAGAGAGAGATTTGAATTTAAAATCTCAGATCTATTTTTTGTTTAATTCAACACGAGAAAATATAATTATTTAATAAATAAAAAAGACAAAAGATTCATATTACAACAGATGGCGACAAATGATATTGAAAAAGACAAAACATCTTCAAACAAAAAAGAAGCAGACACACACACAAAAAACCTAAACCCCAAACATTTTTTGAAAAATGTGTTATCTATTGAACCGCGGGATTTTTCATTTGTAAGTTTCCGCCACACACTTTTGATTTTCTCATTCCAAGGTTTCACTTTGCTACGGCACATCGATTTCTTTTGCTTTTGAATTCTCCAAAGGTTTCATCTTTGTACGGTCAAAGCAAAGAAGTAGCTCAAGTAGAAGAAGCAGGTACGGATCTGTTTCCGAGATTCATGGTTCTGTAATTTTTGCTATTTTCTCGTAAAGTTGTCTGGTTTCGAATTAGTTGTCTACGTCTCAGTGATCTCGTATATGAGTTTTTATTTCTGGTCTGAATCGAGTTTGCAAAATTATGATTTGAAAACGTAGCTTAAAGTCTATTACTTTAAGAAGAAACCCTATGTTGTTGGTGTGAACTTTCTTGTGTAGTGCAGTTGGAGTAATGGGTTTGATTTGCTATTTCTCTGGACGTCGTCTGATTGCGAAAGTTAGCTGTCTGGTTTTCAATTTTCTTTAATACGGTCTTTATTGGTTTGAATCGAGTTTGCAATTTGAAAATGTAGTTTAAAGTTCATGACTTTAAGGAGAAATTGTATGTTACTGGTGTGATTTGTCTTGTGTGGTGTAGTTGGAGTAATGGGTTTGTCTTGAAGTTGTCTGCTTTCGAAAATTAGCTGTCTGGTTCTCATTTTCCTCGTATTTGGTCTTTATTTCTGGTCTGACTCGAGTTTTCAAGGATGAGATTGAAAATTTAGTTTAAAGTTTTTGACTTTAAGAAGAAATCTTATGTTGTTGGTGTGATTTTGCCTTGTGTGTGCAGTTGGAGTAATGGGTTTGAATCTGAATCCAATTTTGCGACAAGAGTTGGCTAATCTTGACAAAGACACAGAGAGTCGTAAATCAGCAATGAAAGCTCTTAAATCTTATGTGAAGGACTTGGATTCAAAGGCTATTCCTGGTTTTCTAGCTCAAGTTTTCGAGACTAAAGAAACCAACTCTTTGTCCGGTGAATACACGATTTCGCTGTATGAAATACTTGCTCGTGTTCATGGACCTAACATTGTTCCTCAGATTGATACAATCATGTCCACTATTTTCAAGACTTTGGCTTCAAGTGCTGGTTCTTTCCCTCTTCAACAAGCTTGTTCGAAAGTTATTCCGGCAATTGCTCGATATGGGATCGATCCGACAACTAAAGACGACAAGAAACGAGTTATAATCCACTCTTTGTGTAAGCCTCTTACGGATTCTCTACTGGCCTCTCAAGAGAGCCTTACTTCAGGGGCTGCTTTGTGTTTGAAGGCTCTTGTGGATTGTGACAATTGGCGATTTGCTTCGGACGAGATGGTGAACAGGGTTTGTCAAAATGTGGTAGTTGCGTTGGACTCAAACTCCAACCAAACACATCTTCAAATGGGTTTGGTTATGTCACTTGCCAAACATAATCCTTTGATTGTTGAAGCCTATGCAAGGTTGTTGATACACACGGGATTGCGAATTCTGGGATTCGGAGTATCTGAAGGAAACTCGCAGAAACGGTTATCTGCAGTACAAATGTTGAACTTCCTAATGAAGTGCTTGGACCCGAGAAGCATATACTCCGAAGTTGAGTTAATAATCAAAGAAATGGAGAGGTGTCAATCTGATCAAATGGCTTATGTTAGAGGAGCTGCTTATGAAGCAATGATGACTTCAAAAAGAATAGCGGGAGAGCTCGAGTCGAAGCTGGAGAAGGGTTGTCGTTCTGTTACTGGTTCGAATTACAGTCGAAGAAACTGTTCACCCATTGTTAATGGTCATTTTCCTGATGACTCCTTATCACCTGAATCACAGACTCTAGGCTCGTTCAGCGGATATGATTCTCCGGTTGAGTCCTCGCCTATTTCTCATACTTCTTGTAACTCTGAATTTGATCGGCGGAGTGTGAATCGCAAACTTTGGAGACCTGATCAAAATGGAGGAGGGGTTGATATCTCTTTAAAGGATGGTCTTTTCTCTGGTGTAACTAAAGGAAGCACCACTGTCTCTGATTCACCTCTTGTCCCATATGATACTTGTGAAAATGGAGACGAATTCGAAGGGTTTCTAATGGAAAGTTTGAGAAACAGGCGGCTGCAAAACACCACTCCTAGTCCTCAGGTGACCATCTCTCCATCTTTGTTGTATGATTGCTAGTTTCATTTGTGTTAAAACATTTCTGACTTTTTTGATACACAGAGACAGCGTTCACGACGTATCAATGCTGAAGATTTCAACATCTTCAGCACTCCACGGAAGCTCATCAGCTCTCTTCAATATCCTGATGATGTTGACTTAGACCATTCAGATATCCAAAGTCCAATACCGAGAAGCGGAAGAGAGAAAACCATAGGATCTCGCAAGAATCCTCAACTCAGAAAGCAATTTTCAACCATGGCGGAAACAATGTCATCAACTGTTAAATTTAGTGGAGATACATCTCAAACACAGATGATATCGGGTAAGAAGAAGAAGATGAGCTATGCCAAATTCGTTATTGCGATATCTTTTGTTGCAGTGGCTCTCTTTACAACCGTGATATTGATGGTGAATCAAGATGACGATGTTGGTTACTACACTGTTCCTACATGATTCACATCTTACTGGTGTTAAGTTCAATCGTAGTGTAGCAGAGAGAGTAGTTTAGCTGTTTAATTACGTGTTAGTTGTTTGTAATGAACTTGGTACAAGATTTAAAATCTTCTTCTACTTGTTGTTCTCATTTTGTTTTGTATGAAAATATGTTGAAGCAAACAACCAATTGAAGCAACCAAGGTTTCAAAAGAGAATTGCAGTCATGCGGACCAAGCTCCGGACCGGTATGAGATCACAGTGCCTATTTTATCCAGAACCGGTTCAAGGGTTGAGAATTTTATCCGGTTTAATCAAACCGGTTCCAGCTTTTTAATAGTTTCACTTTCATTCTCTACGGACTCGTTAAGGGTTTTGCGCACACCCGCCTCATGACGACGAACTCTGATTCCGGCCACTGTATTCCGGCAAAAACCTCAGTTTCTCGGGATGGATTTGAAAAAGAGAGCGACTTAACGAAGCAAGTGAAATCTGAGATAGATCCACAAGCTTCTTCCTCGCAAACCGATGCGATAACTATGGAAGATGGAGCCGTCTCTGTACCTGCAACTGTTTCCACAGTTCTTGAAGACAATAGGGATCTGCAACAGATAAAAGAATCATCTTTCTTTAAAGAAAGTGAGCAATTTGGAGATGATGATGTGCACAAGATCGAGGAAGTTGTTGATGATACTGATGGAGCCCTGCAGGAACAAGAATCTGAGGTTCAGAGACTTTTGGAAGCAGAGAAGAGAAGATTGTTGGCTGAAATCGAACTTGGGTCAATCTTTAGGAAGAGGGTTGATGTGGATACGTTGCCTAAGATCGAAGAGACCATGGATAGTGATGTTGATAAGAGATCTGTGAAGATTGATGATACTGCGTTGGTTGATGTTGTTCATCAGCCTAAGAGACCAGGAAGTGCACATAATGATAAGGATGCACCAAGAAAGCATAAGAAACTTGGAGAGAAGAAACCAATTGATAAGAGAAATACTTTTGAAGTTGTTGAAGGGAGTGGATCAGCCAAAGTTTGTGATTTTCATAATGGTGGAGGAGAAAACAATGGGAATCAGTTTAGGAGAGTGTACACTAGGAAACAATTGGAGTCAATGAGGTTTGCCCACACTGTGAATCAGAAGAAACTGTGGAGTGAAATGTATGCTAGGATTTTACCTGAGGTGGTGACTGAGTATGAAAGTTTAGTTTATGTGAAGAATTACAAGAGTTCAAAGTCTAATCGGGTTCGTGGGCAAACGGAGAGTTGCATTGGTAATCTTAATAACCTTGCAGATGCTTTGTTTGTGTCTTATTCCTTGCATTTATCACCTTATTGTTTTGTTTTGCCTGTTGTTGGTTGAACATGTTGAGAGAAACTTTACTCCTAAGAATTATGTCATCAAATTTAGATAGATAGGTCCAAGAAATAGGACTAAATCCGTTGCAGTTATGTGTGTCTCTCTCGTTTTGGGTTTTGTGTTCTTTTCTTTCTCAAATGGGTTATCACAGACAATCATGTCAGCTTTAGTATCATTGAGTGGTGTTTCAGCAGTGGTTGTTTGGATTGAATAACTCAATGTGTGTAATCCCCTCTAGCCCTTTCTGTTTCGTGTTGCTAGCCTTCTTTTTTCACGGCTTGGATTTTTGATTTCTTGGTCGAAAACTCTTATCTTGTCTCCAGATCAGTTCTTCATTTATCAATTCTCTCGTCAGTTCCAGTACATGTCATTTTGATAGGGGCCTCTTATTTTCTTTTCCACAGGTCTCATATCTTCTGACCAAGACGAAACCATGTGAATATCTCTGTACAGTGAGCTGGAGAGATTTGTCGAAGTCCATTGATCACCAATTTTCTCTTTTCTAAGACACAATACAAGTCCCTTTTTTTTCTTACTATGAGCTAATACCTCATTCATTCATCCTGTATAGATTCTTTGGTTCAGATTATGAAGGACATAGGAGTTTCTTTTGGTTCAAACTTCAAAGTGTATAGGGCCATTATTCTCTGTATAAAGTTGTACATGTTCATACCTTGTCTATAAAAATAGTGCATTCACAGCCAAAACATTCGGAGTTAATTTTTTTATATGTTTGATTGCCTTTGTTCTTCTCTGTTTCTACTCAAGCTCATTTCTATTGTGTGTATTGCTGCTACTTACCTTATCACACTGAAATTCCAAGTACTATTTTTTTATCCAGGAGAAAATTTGGGCACTGATGAAGGAGCAGAGGACGTAACTCCTGAAGACTACACTGACGATAATGATGATTATAATAGCATTTTGAGACCTGCGTTTGAGGTAGATGGAGAACCTGATTTTAGTACTGGACCACCAGAAGATGGGCTCGAATATTTAAGACGAGTCAGGTATATTATCTCTCTGTTTCCATCTTTCTGTGTAATAACAATTTTGGTAATATGGTTCAGTTGTTTTGTTTCCCCAATTTAGGTGGGAGGCTAAGGGAATTCCGAATGTTAGAGTAGCCAAGATAGATGAAAGCAAGTACATAAAGAAAGAGCAAAGTGTTTATATGCCACTAATTCCTGAAATCCCCAAATGCCCAGAGTACCTCTTACCCATGAAGGAATGGGAGGACTCGTTGCTTTCCGACTTCATTCACCTTCGCCAGGTATTTTTTTCTGATATTTCTTCTAACTTGCATGATTGGTTAATAGCAGTGTTTCTCTTAATGGACGGCAATGAAAGTAAAAGTGTTGTGGTTTTTACAGACTCTATCGCAAAGTGCTAACAGCTGTGAGGATGAGATAGTATCAAGTCAGTGTGTAGAAGATTTACTTGTGGAGATATTCAATAAGCATCTCCACACCGAGAAGGATGAGTCATTTGGTGGAGTGGTATCAGACATACAAGGAATGGACTCGGTGACGCGGGTGTCGAAGCTGAAAAAGCGTATATGTTTGGTTGAGAAGGAGAATGGTTTACAGAGTAGCGATTGCAAATGGGTAGTAGCGTTGTGTGCATCATTGGAGACTCCTTTGGATGCCGATACGTGTGCTTGTCTCAGGGGTCTTCTGAGGAAGTGTGCAAGTGTTCGTGCAGAGAAATCATTAGAGGTTGGAGATGAAGAAGTTATCACCATGGCAAATATGCTCATCACCATCGCCGGCAGATACTTTGGCCAAATGGGACAGTAATAAGTGACGAAGAGAGTCGACAGGTCATGCTCTTACTTTTCTCTCAGATGTGCTTTTGAGTATTAACATGAGCTTTAATGCCATTTTTTTCTGTAATGTCCCCTTTGTTCTGTGATGTTGGGAATCATCCTATTTGTGTGAAGTAAGCTCTCTCTTTTTTTTGGGATCTTGTTGAAGAGTGAAGGTTCTTGACGTCTTCACAACTACCGTGGATTGGTCTGATAGTCTTCCTGTCATACCGAGTTCTATCATTGTCATTGTTGAAGAAAATTACAAGAACTACGTTGCTGTATTGGTTTCAGTATCGGAAAAATGTCATTTAATCCCCCAACTTTCAAGTTGTGGTCATTTAATAAATCAACTTCATATGTGGTCATTTAAATCATGAACTAAACGTTAACTAACGTTTGAGACATGGAAATTCGTTGACCAGACTAAAATAAACATGCAGTTATTAGTCGTTAATGGAACTTCTAACGCCCGTTATCACCCCTAATGACTCTGTTAGTCAACTTTCAAATTGTGGCCATTTTAAACATCAACTTCATATGTGGCCATTTAAAACATGAACTAAACGTTGACTAACATTTGAAATACGAGAATTCGTTGACCAGGGAAAAATAGACATGTCGTCATCAGTCGTTAAAAGAACCTATAACATCTGTTATCACCCGTTAACGACTCTATTAGTATGTCCAAAACGACTTCGTTTTGAGGATAATCGAGAGGAAATCATGACAAAAATTTTGTTTTAAAGCAGAATCCAAGGACATAGTTTGATATAGAGGCAATCGTAGAGCCAGTAATTGAAAGCAAACAGAGGTTTTTTCGATTATATGTTTGTTTTAAATCTTAAAAAGAATCATGGAAGCAAACTTGTAGACCCATCATAGGAATAAATATAGCTTTTCTGAAATGGGATATAAAAGGTCATTTTCTAGCTGTTGTTGGAAGAGATGGATATAATAGGACTGTTCATCTTGTTTGAGCTGTTGTAGAAATAGATTTGGGGATTTGGTGTTTTCATTTGGGAAAAATCTTGACTTTCTCTCGATTATCCTCAAAACGAAGTCGTTTTGGACATACTAACAGAATCGTTAACGGGTGATAACGGATGTTATAAGTTCTTTTAACGATTGATGACGACATGTTTCAAATGTTAGTCAACGTTTAGTTCATGTTTTAAATGGCCACATATGAAGTTGATGTTTAAAATGGTCACAATTTGAAAGTTGACTAACATAGTCGTTAGGGGTGATAACGGGCGTTAGAGATTCTGTTAACGATTGATAACGGCATGTCTATTTTGGCCTGGTCAACGAATTTTCATGTCTCAAACGTTAGTCAACGTTTAGTTCATGTTTTAAATGGCCACAATTTGAAAGTTGGGAGATTAAATGACAATTTTCCCGTTTCAGTATCCACAATTTCAGTTTAAGTGCTCTTTGTTTCTTCTTCTTTGTTTGGATGTTGCAATCTTTGATAATCTAGGTGCAAAAAAAAAAGTTTGGATGTAATCTTTGATATTCTAGTTGTAAAGAAAAAAAATGAAAAATAAGCATATGTCAAATTTTCATCTAAACTTGACCCAAAAAAAAAAAACATTAGCAGAGATTATCAAATAAAATAAAAATAACTTCATTTATCATGTAAATTTAGAAATTTACGTCAGAATAAAATAAAGAGCAATGTTTTTGGAATCGTGAAATAAACTTACGTCAAAGATGTGGAAACTAGTTAAACTGTGGAATCAAGATTTTCACGTCAAAATAATGGGATTATATATTTAGTGAGCATGAGTAATTGTGTTTTGTCTGAGTTTACAAAATTATCAGTAATGATTTTTGCGTTAATTCGTGGATTTACAATATTGTAATTGATTGCATCACCAAATGTAAACTTCTAAGTTTAAAAAAAAAAATTAAATTAACAAATGAAAATAATTATAAAAGAATCGATCATTATTAGTCTCACTTAATCTGTTAGTATTCCATCTTAATCACAATAATTATGTCATTGATTGATATTCTTAAAAATCTATGAATATTGTTGAGTCTGTGATCAAGCGATTCTGACTTTGTGGTAAAGCTCTAACCTTTGTGTTCGTTTGTTGTTGTTTGTTTTGCAAGAAAGAAACAAGACACGAGATTTACGAGTTCCCAAGACCAAATCATTCAAGGTACGTCTCAGAGAGCTGGTTGAAGCTTTCTGAGACGTACCACCTCTCAAGGCACTCTTATCTTTACCGAACAGTACAAACTCTCTTTGTCTCACCACTCTCACCCCATACAGAAAAGAAACCCTCTTTGAAGAGTTACAAACAAGAAGACACTCAAGAGTAAAACCCTCAACCCGTGTTTCTCTCAACTCTCTCTCTAGAACTTTCTCTCTCAATGATGACTGAATGGCTTATCCTTCAAGCTTGATGACACTGTCCTTTTATCAGCTGAGCCTTTGCCGTTTTTGCAGGTGCTACCCGACAACACTGTACGACCAGTGACCACCAAAGCACCAAAATGCTCTCACATCTGCCGTTTCTTGTTCTAGGGCTTAAGTTGCTTAGCAGACTCCGACTAGGCCTTGACCGGCCCATTCATTTCAACTCAACCCACCTGTCTAAATCCAATCACCTGAAACGACAAATATTGTAAACTTGAAGCTATTTCTATATAATATAAATGTTTGTATTTCATTCATTAGTCCCATACAGGGGTGTCAAAATGAATAAAAGTTTATGGATCAGTTCAAATCAATCCAATCTATGGATTTAATGAATAGAGAATTTGGATCTTAATGAAATAAATGGGTTTAGCTGTACACCATTTAGATTTTAAAGTAATAAATAAAATATAGGTTTTTTATAATAATTATTCTGTGTTTACTTTTTAGTATGACTACGCTATAAATAAGATATAGGCTTTGACTTAGTAGCTTTATATACTAGAATCTATGAATTGATATAAGTTCTTTTTTTCTAGCGATTTGATGGATATACTAGAATCTATGAATTGATATAAGTTCTTTTCTCTGCAAACTTGCTCTTTTCTTTTTTTCTCTTTCTCTTCTTCAAAACCGCTAAGTTCTTTTTTTCTTTCTCTTTCTCCGGCGATTTGCTTTCCTTCTCTCTTCAAACTCGCTAAGTTCTTTCTCCGACGATTTGCTTTCCTTCTTTCTCGTGCACTTCTCTATTTTTTCTTAGGGTTTCAATTTTCTTCAATGGATTTCGATCCACATACCGCTGTCGTAATCCTCGTTTCTTTGTGTGGTATCGCCACTTGTACGTTTCTCTACGTTTTGGGGGTTCGAGTACTTTTTAATACCTTTTTAATGAAAAATCATTGGTATATTATAGAAAATAAATTCTTTGCCGAATTTCCGCTTGTCCACCCTAAATTGAAGAATTAAAATTAGAATTCTCAAGAAATTAGAAAATATTTGGAAATTAGAATCGTTCCCATAGATAATTTGGTACATTTGGAAAGCAAGGAATGATGGGTTTGACTGATTAACATACATAGAAGAAAAGAAATAAGAAGAAAAATAAATATTTCTAATTATTCTACTCTTTTACCGGTCAAAAAGAATTTGTTGTCGAGGAAAAAAAACATTTTTTCTTCTGAATTCCTTTGCTTTTAATAGAAACAAGTGAAAAGATTCACCCAATAAATACATGATATAAATTTTCTTCTCATTAATTGTCTTCTGTTTTCTTCTCATTTCTTTTCTTCCTTTTTCTTCTTACTACATCCAGTCACACTCGATAAGTTATATGGAAATGTGGATAAAGATCCACTCGAGATATTACACTTAGCAGAAAATAAGGTACAGTCGTATCAGTTAGTTCAAGTCGGGCTTCAAACTGAAAACGATCTTTGGAATCAGAAATTTGCACTCGCATGAGGGATTCTTCACATGAAACATTGTACTCCAGACATCGATATTTTGTGGATGGTTCATGGAAAGGAAGTGATAAGTTTTCAGGATTAGGGTGGTTCTATACGTTATCAAACGGTTCGCCAACCATGGGAGCTGCCAACGCCCGCAGAAGCCTCACTCCACTATATTCAGAAGTGGGAGCTCTTGTATGGGCAATGAAGTGCTTGATGGATGCCGACAATCAAGACGTAGCCTTTTATATAAACTGTTCAGATCTGGTGAAGATAGTATATTCTCCAACCGAATGACTAATATTTTCAGTGTATTTGAAAGAAATTCAGAGCAACAAAGAAGAATTCTCAAAGTTCTTTTTATTTTTATTGGTTTATTGATTTGTAAATCCATATAGGATTTGAAAATCTTTATTAATTATAAAATCAAGACATATGAATTTTGAAATATCATGTGTTTACCCATGGATTTGAATCCTTCTATTTTTCTCTTTCAAATCCATTTAGGGGGTGTTATTGGATTTGGATTTTTAATGGATTTTGAAATCAAGTGTTATTCAATTATGTATTTGCAAAAGTACGTTAAAAATTTGCTGTTATTGGATTAGTATTTGTTTGATGTATTCTAAAATGAATTAAAAACAATTGTTATTCAATATTCATTTGATTTATTTCATTTTGGATTTGAAAGTACAGATGTACTTTTACTCATAATACATGAACAAAAACAATCCAAGCATTTGATCAAGTATTTCAAAATCCCACGTTAACTCCACATACAAGCATTGGACTTCAAAATCCAATTCACATATTATCTATCAATTCAAATCCATAAAAACTCTAATCCAATAATAGCTCCTTAAAACATAATTTGAATTTTAAAATCTAAAAACAAATGACTAAACGAATAACATAAGATTTTACATAGTATTTATAAATCATGGAACCAATAACACATGATTTTATTTAGAATTTTAAAAACAATGATTGAATAACAAATGGTTTTTGTTTGGCTTTCCAAATCTTTATAAATCCATGAACTAATAACTTCCCCTAGCTTCCGATGTGCACATGTTAAAACGGATAATATGGCAAAAAAAATTCATACCGAACCGCGTGAGATTATTTATGTAAACAACATGATTTTTTTAGTGGGTCAAAGGACAATCGTTCCCTATTGTAGCAAATTTTCTCTCTCTCGAAAGTTCTTCTTTTTTCCCAGATCTAAGTTCTTATTAGGCATTGATCTTCACTAAAGGACCTGAGAAGTTCAAAGGCATAACAAGAGTGAGGCAAGCACTTCTCTCTGTTAGCGGCATGGGTGGAGGTCCATTAGACGATGCAGCGGTGGTTCTTTCCCGGCGGAGGAGAGAGTTCCTGATCCGATTCCTCGGTTTGAGGACGCCAAAAGGAATTGCGGTGGAACCTCTCACGGCTTAACCGACGGGATGGATGTTATTGCTGTGGCGGAAGTCGTTTTGTGGACAGGTGGGGTTTTGTTGCTTATTTCGATGGTTAACTACAAGTTCTTCTTGGATCTGAAAGGGCTCTCGTGGATTCTGGCTGTTGCGAGGTTGACTGAGCCATCACCTCTGTATAGCTGCCGTAGGTTGCTTCCGTCGTTCCGGGTTTGAGGTTGTTGTGTCTCGGAGAAGGATCTCAGTTCTCGGCACTGGAGGTTGAGGGCTTAGATCTGAGTGTCGTTTTGCTTGGTGAGGACGCGACAAATTGGGTGGCGGAGTGTCAGAGAGTTGATCTATGTCGTAAGGATTGTTGCGGGTTCGTCTTGAAGTCGGTTTTGAATCGGAGCAGGGATTCGAAAAGTCCAAGTAATGGTTCGATCCGACGACAATGTCTCAAAGCAGTGGCCCTTGTTTTCGACGGCGCTAGTAGATCGGATTCTTCGCCTCTGTCCACCGCCCAGATCTAACCTCGATCTCTATGTCGGTCGCCGGAATTTCTTTATCCGTTTTTATAACTGTAAGGCTTTTGTATTTTTCGGAACTTAGCCCATTGGATTGGCCAATTAATAAAATTTTTTAAAAATATATATGATTTTTTACGGAATTAATAAAATTGTTGAAAAAAAAAAAAAATTTTATTAAAAGAAGAAGAAAAAGGAAAATATTAATACATAAAATTGTGGAAAAGGGCCTGGTAATTTGGACCGTATCTAATCACATCCATAATGAAGAAGAAACCCTCGTAATATAAAATCTTACCTCCACAAAAACAAAACCCTTTTCTCTCGCTTCGCTGCCTCTCTCTCTCTCTCTCTCTCCCCAAAACTAAAACCTCGCAGCCATTGTTTCTCCTCCGGAAGCACAATCATGGCGATCGATCAACAAACACAGATTCAACTCTCTATCCTCCTCGGTCCCGATTCTTCTCACTTCGAAACCCTAATTTCACACCTCATGTCTTCTTCAAACGAACAACGTTCCCACGCCGAATCTCTCTTCAATCTCTGCAAACAAACACATCCCGATTCACTCGCTTTGAAACTCGTTCAATCTCTCAATTCATCTTCCAATCTCGAGCTTCGTGCTATGTCCGCTGTTTTGCTACGGAAACAACTCACTCGTACTGGAGATGACGATGATTCCGCTTTTATCTACCCTCGAATTGCTGAATCTACTCGTTTGACTCTTAAATCTGTTCTCATCACGTCTTTGCAACAGGAGAGTACTAAATCTATTGCTAAGAAGGTTTGTGATACTATCTCTGAACTCGCTTCTGCGATTTTACCGGAGAATGGATGGCCGGAGTTACTTCCTTTTATGTTCCAGTGCGTTGTTGCTGCTGATAATCCCAATCTTCAGGAATATGCTTTGTTGATTTTCTCTAGATTGGCTCAGTACATTGGTGAAACGTTGATTCCTTATTTGAGTACATTACATTCTGTGTTTTCTCAGTCGTTGAGAAATTCTACATCTGCTGATGTTAGAATTACGGCTTTGGGTGCTGCTATTAATTTTATCCAGTGTTTGTCAAAGGCTTCCGATAGGGATATATTTCAGGATTTGTTGCCCTTGATGATGCAAACGTTGACAGAGGCGTTGAATTCCGGGCAAGAAGCAACAGCACAAGAAGCTTTAGAGCTTCTTATTGAACTGGCTGGTACCGAACCGAGGTTTTTAAGGAGACAGATTGTGGAAATTGTTGGTTCAATGCTTCAGATTGCGGAAGCTGAGAGTTTAGAAGAAGGAACCAGACATTTGGCAGTTGAATTTGTGATTACATTGGCTGAGGCACGAGAAAGAGCTCCCGGTATGATTAGGAAATTGCCACAGTTCATTACCAAACTCTTTAGCGTGTTGATGAACATGCTTTTGGATATTGAGGATGACCCTGCATGGCACAGTGCCGAGAATGAGGATGAAGATGCTGGCGAGACCAGTAATTATGGGTTTGGACAAGAATGTCTAGACAGGCTTGCGATATCTTTGGGTGGAAATACAATTGTTCCTGTTGCCTCTGAAGTTTTCTCGGGTTTCTTCGCTGCTTCTGAGTGGCAGAAGCACCATGCTGCTCTCATTGCTCTTGCCCAAATTGCTGAAGGCTGCTCAAAGGTGAGGGTTGTTTCTGTTCTGGTTTAAGTGTCTAGGTGATTCAAGATGACTTAGTATATGGTAAACTTTGGTGGTATCTGGTAAAGTAGTCATTGTTGACTTGGGTTAAATTTCTTCAGGAGAAATAAGTGGATAATTGGAAGGAGAGAATACCTTAGAACTAGTAAAAGTTACAGGGTTCATATCGGAGGCTGTTAGATTTAGTAATAATATTAACTGTTTTATCCTCTACTAACTTCCACATGTGTCAAATCAGAATGTATCACTTACATCTATCCTTTCCCTTCTAGTTTGGTGGTATCTGGTAATTAGCAAAATGTTCCTGTCTAGACGACTGTTCAAGTTGTTGATGAAGGAGTCTATTCTCTTCTATGATTTTGCCATATTTATATGTCACTGTCCTACTTTTTTTTCTCGTATTTTTAACGAGTTCATCGTAGATGCACATCTATGTTCATACCTGAATCGTGGTTATTATTTCTCTCATATGTAGAGATTGACTTAATTTCTTTCATGTTTTCTTCTCTGATATTATCTTGGTATTGGTACAGGTTATGATAAAAAACCTGGAACAGGTGGTTTCTATGGTTCTGAACTCTTTTCAGCATCCCCATCCTCGTGTCCGATGGGCAGCAATTAATGCAATCGGACAGTTGTCTACAGACTTAGGACCTGTGTTACAAACTAAATATCATCAGTCTGTGCTGCCTGCACTGGTTGGAGCCATGGATGACTTTCAGAACCCTCGAGTCCAGGTTAGTTTGTAAATTGCTGCTTTGGCCATTCTGTGAGTGAAAATGTAACTCATCAGTATGTATTGTCTCTTGTTAACTAAATCCAATACCTAGATTTTCAAAATATGCACCAGGCGATGTATTGCTCATGTAAAGCTGGTGGTCATTTAGGCATTTACTAGTGATTTTAGTTGTTGAAAAGACTCACTTAATCATACCAGTGTCCCAGACTTAGAAGTAAAAGTGGAATAATGTTTAAAAAACGAATAAGAGGATCATTACAACTGTATCCGGCACTGAAATTTTGAGATTTTTATTGACCTGCCTTTTTCATCCTGCTCATCATTTAGATTTATACACCAAGACTGAGAAGTAGAAGCTAATGATTTTTTATAAAACACTGAAAGTGGGATATTCTCATTGATTTTTATTTTTCTTCCTGCTTATTGATGAGATTTTCTTATCCTTTGCTTGAGTTTTCTGTAATGAGGTATCCCTTTCGTGGTACAGGCCCATGCTGCTTCCGCTGTTCTTAATTTCAGTGAGAATTGCACTCCAGAAATTTTAACCCCTTATCTGGATGGAGTTATTAGCAAGCTTCTTGTACTGCTTCAGGTACACGTCATACATGCTCATAAAATTCATTTGTTTCTTTGTCTTTGATGAAATTCCTTGAACAGATTTGCTAAATTTTCATTCGTCTCGAATAGATACTGCTTTTTGGAAGTTAGTTCATAAGTGAAACCTACTAAGGGGTCATGCCTGTAGACTAGTGCAAAAGGGTTAGTACTTGTTTGAGTCTGTTTAGCCTTGTCAGGATTCCATCTTACAGTTCTGAAGACTGTCAACGCTCTCGCAATTTTCAAGTCATTGTTTACATCTTTAAGTATTACATTGGTCATAGAAGTGTTTTGGATACCTAATAACCATCAAAATAGTATACTTTTTATCCACATTAATTGTTGGTAGTTCATTCAGTTTCCTCACTCGGCTGTCTCACAGTTATTAAGTGCAGATCTTCACTAGATGAGGGTTTGTAGGTAGCTTTCTTACATTATATCTGGGTATTATGCAGAATGGAAAACAAATGGTACAAGAGGGTGCTTTGACTGCTTTGGCGTCAGTTGCTGATTCTTCACAGGTGTATATATGCTCCTCCCTAATAGTTTTTTTTTTATAGTTTTATTTGAAGCTCAATGATCTAACTTGTTTTCTAACAGGAACTGTTCCAAAAATACTATGATGCTGTTATGCCTTACTTGAAAGCTATTTTGGTAAATGCAAATGACAAAGCTAATCGCATGCTTCGCGCTAAGTCAATGGAGTGCATTAGCTTGGTTGGAATGGCTGTTGGAAAGGAAAAATTTATGGATGATGCAAAGCAGGTAAAGATATGGATGTTTCATATTCTTTTACATCCTTGTGCTAAATGGTGTTTTAGATCTTTGCTTCCACTTTTTAGATAATTAGAGTTTAATTTTCGTTAAAGGAAATTCCTTATCGTGTCTTCCTAAATCAATCTTAGCTCATTTAACAAAAAAACACATATGTAGAAGTCCTCAATCATTTTGGTGCTGGGAAGTAACTACCCAGCTAAACAGTAGCCTTAAAGTTTGTTTTTCTTGGAAAGGTCATGGAAGTGCTGATGTCCTTACAAGGTTCGCAACTGGAAGCGGACGATCCAACAACGAGCTACATGTTACAGGCATGTTTCAGAATTCGTAAAGCTTGAATTTAAGATTCATTAGAAGCTTAGTGGGAACTTAAATGAATATTTCTTCTGATTTATCTGATAAATACATATGCAGGCTTGGGCAAGACTCTGCAAATGCCTTGGAAAAGATTTTCTCCCTTACATGGGTGTTGTTATGCCCCCTTTGCTTCAATCAGCTCAGCTTAAGCCCGATGTTATCATTTCATCTGCAGATTCAGATGCAGATATTGATGACGAAGATGATAGGTATGACATGGTTACATCCCAGTACTGTGTAAGGAATATTTTCCTATTGTATACCTCAAGAATATGTATATACTGTCGAAAACGTTGCAGAATTATAAATTTTAATTTCAAGGTTATAAGTGCCCACTCCATCCATTTCACTGATAGCCTTGCTAATTTAACTATCAATTTATAGCTTTTTTTTCCCCTTTATCCCCTGCTTCCTTGTATCCTTGTTTCCTTTTTGCTTCCTTTCTACCTTTTTCCCCTGTTTAGGTTAAATGTTAACGTTTGGTGAATGAAACTTGATTTTGCATCCATGCAATCTTTTCATTGGATTCATATATTCAGTTAAAGGAATTTTATGTGATTTGTATTGTTGTTTTTTGGTATAAGCTTTCATGAGGTTTGATTTTCTATTTCAGCATTGAGACCATCACTCTTGGTGACAAGAGAATAGGGATCAAAACTAGCGTGTTAGAGGAGAAAGCTACTGCCTGTAACATGCTGTGTTGCTATGCAGATGAGCTAAAAGAAGGGTTTTTCCCTTGGATTGATCAGGTATGGCCTCTGTACTCTACTAACTTTCGGATTACAGAGTTTCATTGGCTTCCAAGGTTCTTATATTGTTACGGTAAAACAGGTTGCTCCTATTTTAGTTCCTCTTCTCAAATTTTATTTCCATGAAGAAGTTAGGAAGGCTGCAGTATCAGGTTTGATCTTCGAGTATCTATAATGTCTATGTTTTCTAGGGTTTTAATCATACATTCTCTGTGTTTCTACAATGAGGGCTTCAGTCACATTATCCAATTTTTGGCGGTTAGGTATGCCGGAGCTGTTACGTTCAGCTAAACTTGCTGTGGAGAAAGGGGAATCTCAGGGTCGCAATGAATCCTATATAAAGCACTTGAGCGACTATATAATACCGGCGTTGTTAGAGGCCTTGCACAAGGTTGAATTGGCTTTACATTTTGTTTTTTTTGCCTTAAAGAATGATGCCTTCACTTTTAGTTTTTCTTACGAAGTATAACTTATATATTATACTTGATGATTTTCTTTCAACTTAACCAAAAGGAGCCTGAAGTGGAGATTTGTGCAAGCATGCTGGAGTCACTAAACGAGTGTGTACAGGTTTGTAGTTTCTTTCCCAGACAGTTTGTATTAGCAATTAGATCAATTAAGACTTTCATCGTATGGGAGGGGATTATTGTATTCTGTATATAGGGCGGAAATGAATTAACAGTATTGCTTTCTTTTTCTAAGGGTGCCAAATATATTCCAAATACAGTATTCATTGCTCTCGTCTTTTTTTTCTATTCCCTCTGAATTGATAGATAGTCTTGAGTATTATTTCATTGTAGTTTATCTCCTTTAGAAAAGAATATAACCAAAGTACTTGTTTCAGATTTCTGGACCCATTCTAGATGAAAGCCAAGTGAGGGGCATTGTTGAGGAGACTAAGCACGCAGTAATAGCTAGCTCAACCAGACGGAGCGAAAGAGAAGAGAGAGCTAGGGCAGAAGACTTTGATGCAGAAGAAAGCGAGATCCTTAAAGAAGAAAATGAACAAGAAGAAGAAGTTTTTGATCAGGTATGATCTCAATGTTTATGTTGCCAAGGCATCAATTCTGACAGACGATACCAGGATATAATGATTTATCTCTGTCTCTCTTTCTGTGAAGATTGGTGATTTATTGGGTACGTTAATAAAAACATTCAAGACCTCTTTCTTGCCCATGTTTGATGAGCTTTCATCTTACATAACTCCCATGTTGGTAAGTTCTTTTCTTTGTGCTCTCTAGGCTTCCTATTTCTAAATGTTGGATTTTTTTTTTAACAAAGATAATAACTGAAGAATGACTGCTTTAATTTGTTCACCAACTGTGATAGTGAATGTTTATGGTTTGTTCTATGCAGGGTAATGATAGAACAGCAGAGGAGAGAAGAATAGCCATTTGTATATTTGATGATGTTGCTGAGCATTGTCGCGAAGCAGCTCTTAAGTATGATAGTCTCTTATCCGTTTCCCTGATTTTGTGCGACTATTAGATGTCACAGCATGTCTGATGTATATACTGCTATGCAGATACTATGATACCTTCGTCCCTTTTCTTCTGGAAGCATGCAATGACGAGAATGTTGATATTCGGCAGGTATGTCGTACAAGAAACCTACTATCTTCTTTAGTTTAACAGACTTCGGGATCATTTAGTTTTTTTTTTTCCCACAATTCAGGCTGCTGTGTATGGAATTGGAGTTTGTGCTGAGTTTGGCGGATCTGTTTTCAGACCTCTTGTCGGAGGTAGCTTCGTACAAACTTTTTCGTTTCTCCATGTCTACGAGGTTCTTGTTGCATTGGTGTAAATGCTGTAATTTTTTCTCTGTAGAGGCACTCTCCAAATTGGATGTTGTCATTGCACATCCTAATGCACAGCAGTCTGAAAACGCCATGGCCTATGACAACGCTGTTTCCGCTCTCGGAAAAATATGTCAGTTCCACCGAGACAGTATTGATGCTGGAAGGGTAAAAATATCTAGGCTTCCTCTATCTACATTCTTCTTCGCAGTGATATCTAATGTTTCTTCTTTCTATCAAATATTCAGCATAGCTTTTGACGAGAAATTTGTCACTCTTACCAGATTGTACCTGCCTGGTTAAACTGCTTGCCGATAAAAGGGGATACAGTTGAGGCTAAAATTGTCCATGACCAGCTTTGCTCAATGGTGGAGAGGTAAAAATATATTCATTTATTTTTTGTTACTGCTTTGTGGTGGTTATTGAAACCTGGACTCTCTGTGCAGATCTGATCCGGATCTATTAGGGCCCAATCATCAGTACCTTCCAAAAATAGTTGCAGTTTTTGCTGAGGTATTCAACACGCCGTAGAGTTTCAACTTCATGAATTGATATCAGTTTTGATGTCTGTTTTTAAATATTCCGGTATATATAGGTCTTATGTGCGGGGAGTACGCTGGCAACGGAGCAAACAGTGAGTAGGATGATAAATATCTTAAGACAGCTTCAACAAACATTGTCTCCATCAGTGCTCGCATCGACATGGTCATCTCTGCAACCACAGCAACAGCTTGCATTACAGTCCATCCTCTCCTCTTAGTTCCCTATATTCTTTTGCGAGCTTGGCATGACAATGAAGATGATCCCACAAAGGTATCTCTCTAAGGTGTGCATAATGTTTGATTCTTGGGCTTGCTGCTTATGAAACGACAATGTTAAGTAGTGCCCAGAAAAGAAGAAAATTTTGAGATTTTTTGTTGTGTTATGCCATGAACAAAGACATTGCTTAATCAAATTTTGATGGTTTTGTTATATACTTCCAAACCATGATCTCTTCTTCCTGCAACTTCTGATGTGATGTTGAGGATAGTTTGATTAGTTTGGCTCCGTAGTAGACACGACGGGTTTAGGGAACCAAATCATTTTATTTCCTGATTCTCATTGAAGACCAGGCAATACACGTATTTCGAGATTGCATAATTCCATAAAAATGTTAACCAAAACCACTGTTAGGATATATTGATTTCGTTTTAAGCAGTTTTGAAAGTTGGTGATTGTGGGGATTGTTACCAACTCAATTCCAGTAAAGCTTATCTTTGCTGATTCTTGGCAGATACTATGAACTTGTTCAGAGATGTTAACCAGATCCTCTTGCAGAAGTCACAAAATCTGAGTTTGCGAAGGAATTCTGAGTTCAGATTATGATTGTTACTTATGCTCGACATTATTTACGTATTATATACATTTGAGTGCGTACTCAAATCAAGTCCATGACAAACTATGAACAGTTTTGAAGTTAAACTAGATGAATCTACATATGCAATAGAGCCACCGTTCTATATTTACGAGATGGCCTGGAGCTGGACGGACCTCTTTTGCTCCTTGATATTCCTGAGATAAACTGCTATGGCTCGGGTAAAGGTTTCGCCAGATACTGACGCCATTCTTGTGGCATTCCCTTATTTGATCTCAGCATCCTTATAGCTGCATTTGTTAATGGTATTGCAACAATGTCATAGTCTTTTGGTTCCTGCCATTACCAACAAAATGTCTTGATTCAAAAATACCCCATCAAAACAAGGTTTTATCGCATCTTAGACTAGTTAGTTAAAACCCATTGCAACTATGAGAAATAATACCTTCGGGACCTTGAGTAACTTCATGTGTGCTTCTTCTGCTGTCTTCTGACCTTTCTTTGAGTTACATCTCGAACATGCAGCTACCTATTATATGAACCAATTAAAGAAGATAACTTTTCAATACTATTGGCTATTACATTCACAGCATAGATGCTAACTGCAATATCAATCACATACAAGGTTTTGCCAGCTCCATTCTCCACCTCGAGAAACCGGCATAACATGATCAATGGTCAAGTTTTCACGGGAAGAACAATATCTATATCCCAAATAACAAAACTTCAGTCAACAAGAATAGTTTGATCTAACAAAAAGAGAGAACTTCCTCAAACTAGACAGAAAATTACTTACTGACAAGTATAATCGTCTCGCAGTAATATATTTTTACGACTTAGTGAGTTTTTCACTCTTCTTCTTTTAACAACCTGAAGCAAATGTGGAACCTAAAGCAAGACAATGAAGTAAGCGTCAAATTGGTAAAAAGGGATAAAAACTGGCTACCTAAACTCATGTTCTCATACCCTTAATACAGCTGGTATATAGAATGAACCAGTAGGAGAACTAACGGTCTGATCATAATACTCCAAAACGTCGGCCTAGACAAGGCATTATCGAATGTACAAAACCTGAATTAAGGATTCTTGTGTATCAAATAAGTATCAAAAATATGTTAAAAGCTTTATGGCCTGACCTTATCCATGTACTCGAGACAGATTGCGCGCTTCCAGCAAACCACATTGACCGGCCTACAGTGTCACAACTAATTTAGGCCAGTGACACAACCCTACCAATTTTTCGAATTAGCCAATTCAAATTTGCATGAACTTAAAACAAAGAGAACACTAATGCTTATACCAACAATAAACAAAGAGAAAACTAATGCTTCTCATCAACAATAAATATAGATTTTGACCTGTATGAAATATCAAGAACTAAGCCTCTGAAGCAAGAAAGATCATCAGTCTCTAAACCATCATCGTCTCCATCAAAATCCCATTCATCGTTGTCTTCATCAATACCAAGATTTTTCTCGGTGTTATCGAAATCCCTAATTTTCTTTCTCTTGTAAGGAAAAGAGTAAGACGAGAAAATTCTTGCACAGAACTTTAATCGGCTTCTGCGTATTGGAACCAAAGGAGTTCCACCACCGGCCATGTAAAGGCTTTGCCGCAATTGGTCTCTGGAATCTACACCAAATGACAATCCATCGTTGCTTGAGAGAAGCTTAAGTCTCGAAGAGAAATGTGCCATTTGATTGAAGAAAATTGAAGAAGAAGTTAGGGTGATCCAAGTCTTGGAAGATTATTAGGAAGAGAAATTGTTTACACAATTTGGACTTGACAAGAGCCGTTAACCACAAAAACTGATTACTATAGAAAAATATCATACTCTATGAAATGACGAATATGGCATCGTATCTTTTCTCCCAACTCCTCATAAGTGATGCTTAATTCAGTTTTTTTATATATATTTTTTTTCTTCATTTTAAATGATATTTTACATGATTTATGTAAGATTTATTTATATTTATTTATTTACTAATCATTTGTATTATGCAGGTTGATTAATTATTAGTTAAATGGTGTTTAGGTAGACAAATCATGAATTATCGCGCTAAGCTAAGTATCTATTTTCTTTTATTTTTAGTTTAGAATTTTGTATAATTATCACTCATTTTAGTAATTTGGAATTTAAAAAGAAATTAGAAATATGGATAGTTTGATATATGCCATTATATATTGTATTCCTAACTATCTAATATTTTATCCGAAAATTATTCAAATTTACATCAAAGATAAAATATAATTTTGATATTTGTTTATTAGTAATTGTTTTTATTAATGTGCTAATTTTAATTGCTTAATAGAAATTATTCGGATATTTTTTTTTGAATTTTTCGAGAACCATTTTTCTAATGATAAAAATAATGTTTCAGATACGTTACATTTTTTTTTTTCAGCATTTCAGATATGTTACATTTATATAAAAGATACATAAGAATATTTTTTTGTGTTTGAAACAGTAGAAACTAGAAACCATAGTTACAACATATAGCACCTCATAAAGAGTGCCCTTTTATTTCATAGAAGAGGCAAAAGCCAAAAGTTGTAGAACCTGTGAAATAGTGTTTAGTATGTCCATGTATTGTCTAATGAACCTCATAGTTTCGAGGTTATGCGGCTTACGGTTGCTTCTATAGATCCATGAGGTTCATCGGTTGGCAGGTACACATCATCTTTAAACTGTAAAAGATTTTCATTAGAAACGATTCACATCCTCAAATTATTAGCTTTAATGATGTTTTTTCCTTTCTGATTTTAACTATGCCGCTGCCATCTTTCTATTTATCATTTTCGTAGGTTTCGTGGTTTCGCCATAAAATGCAATCACATAAAGTTCTTACCTTCACCATTGAAGGGTTTTCCTTGGTTGATAGATTTACAGGTAGAAAGTGAATATTTGGCATTTTTAGGTGAATTGATGATACATCAGCGAACCTGATCATGTTAATAAGAACCTTTAAATAGGTAAGAATCACATAATCACACAAACAGTGAAATAAATATAGATTGATATGATGATACCTTTTTCAGTACGGCGCTTCCCATGAGATAGAGAGTGCGTTGCACAGAGGGCTATACACACCAGTTTCTGGTGGACCAAAGAAAGTATCCATCAGAACTTTCTTTACGTCCATGAACTTCTCGGTGAAGTAGAGTCCTTTTGTTGGGATGCTTGCAACTGACTCATACGAGTACCTGTCATCATGAACGGGTATGTCGGTTTCAAGAATCAATCGCAAATAAGAATGTAGCATCACTAACTAACTCATACCTCCAAGATGCATCGACCTCTGTGGCCAGCATTCTCTCGCCAGTATCAGGCAGAACGGTGTATTTGTCTCTGACAAACCTCTCAAATCCTGACTGTAATTTGCATAAAGCGGCTTTTGTAAACAATCAATTATCAGATCTTGACTTTTGACATCCATTAGTATCAACATCCTAGGATTAAGCTCAAAATTTGCTGTATCTTACAAACAAGATAGACAATAATGACATCAAATCTAGATTTTCACTCATTTTTCAAATCATTCATCTTTGTATTTCCTCACCATCAGGTTCCTAAGTTATAGGAGTAAACTGTTATCTTTAAAACCTACAGACAAACCATGACAGCTATAATAATCTGCATAGTGCTTGTTTCTTTTTTTCATAGAGTTGATGGGCAAAATCTATAGAGATTTACAAAAAAGGTATGGTTAATATGTTATAAGAAGCACATCAAAGAAACACCAAGCGAGTTCGGTACATTTATTATCCAGAACTCCAGTACTGACTAATATTTTGCAAACCACTAAATCTCTGAGACAAATATGCATCCTAGCAGCAAGAGATAAAACCCAAAAACGCTAGTCCAAAGACCGTGGAACACATTTAACTCGCCATTATCCGAAAATATAACAGTGATAACACAGAAAATTCAACACCTTTTTAACAACATATATCTGCAGAAAGATGTTGTATACCTGGGTTGTCTTTAGTAGGGCTAGTCCTCCAATACCAGAGGTTAAGTTTAGTGCACCAGACTTTTCTACTCTTGCCTCTGCAGTATGGTTCTCGGATCCAAGCTTGAAACCTTAAACAAAAGATTGATTTAGAAACTCATCAAACAAAAGCAAAATTCTTTACAGAAAAAAATGTTAGAAAACCAACCATGTAAATGTGGTTTTCCATCGATGGATACACGCTCCCAGGGTTTCTCAATGATACTCACGATAGCAGTAAAAACCTGGTAAAACAACAAAGGAAGAGAATAACCACAAAGGAAAAAGCAGCAAAATGAATAAAACATAAATTATGTTATTTCAAGACACATAAGAAACAGTATATCCTTAAGAGTAATCAGCAAGGTGAATATATTCAATCGACTACTAAAATACATGGTGATAGTGCATACCTGTGGATAAAATGAGCAAAAGTGTTTCCCAATAAGTATGGCAAATTCTTCCACCGAGAGTCGATCTCCACATTCCTTGGCTTTCACATAAACCTTCATTCCAACATAGAAGATTGGTCAAACACTTGGCTGTGAATTCTAGAAATCAGTAGATATAACCATGAATAAGAACAAAATTGAGACCCTTCCAACCAGAAACATTTGTTCATGCCAATGAATCTAAGATCAACAATCCAAGACTAATACAGCCAAAGAAAGATAATCAGTGACTGAAATATGCAGTAACATGAATACAGACAAAGTTGGTGAAACAAGTCCTAACCCAAAAATCTCTAGTCTCAAGAGCCAACAAGTTGTTCATTAACAAATGAATATATGATCCAAAATACAAGACTAAGCAGGGCAATAAAGAAGACCACGTAACACAGCCATGAATAAGACAAATCTCAACCCAAACAAGAGCCAATAAAGCTGTTCATTGATCTTTGATCCACAGAAAGATCACAAGCAACTGAAATGGGCAACTTACAGTGTTTTTCATGGTATCGGTAGCGACAATATCAGAGTTATCATCACGATAGTAAGAAGAGAGACAGTGAGAGAGAAGACTGATGCTAACATTCCATTCAACAAAGTGATGAGATCCATCATGATCATGACGCCAAACTCTTCCAACTCTCACACGAGCCTTCCCATGTCTTTGCTCCAATCTGATCCCATCAGCTTCTTGTGCCATTCTAAGTAACTGAAGCAACCAAATTGATAGAAACATAGAGAAACGTAAATGTTCAAGATTCTTCCAAAATCAAGCTTCGTTTTTTAAAATCGAAATCCCTAACTAATCAAAACAAGACATAACTAAGAAGATTCATAAAAAACCAAGATATCACTTCCAGTTCTAAATTAAAAAAAAAAAACAATCGGTGCCCTAACTTCTTCTCCTTACCTGTTCCGTGAAAACTTGGGTAAATCCCCACGAGGAAATGGTTGAGAGAGAGATTACCTCCGTGAGTGATCGGAAGATGAGAGATGCCTGAGATCGACGATGAAAGAGAGAACTCGCCACTCACAAATCGGAAAAAACTAATCACTTATGCCTCTTTTATCTTTCTCATTTTATTATTGAACTACATTTTAACCGGCGGTGACAATTTATTTTTAAAATTAGTGATTTTCAAAATTTAATAGTTATATATTATATATTAAAATTTGTAAATCTAAATTATATCATTTTATAAAATATTTATATTTTATAGTTTATAATTGTAATTAAAAAATAATATACTATGAAATTTTATACAATTTTACTTTATTAGATCATTCCATATGTATAATATTGGTGGTGTTAATTAAAAAAGTAATAAAATGAAGGGAGCAGTGGGTGGAGGAAAACCACCAAAACCAAAGGTTGATAAATGAAGGTACTAAGCTGGAATTTTCAAGGTCTCGGGAACAAGGCGACTATCGGTTATCTTCGGGATTTGTGGAAACAACATCGGCCGGATTTTTTATTTCTTTCGGAAACTAAACAATCTACTTTTTTTTATGGAAAAATTTGTCGGTCATTTTGGTTACAAAAATTTAAAAACGGTTGATCCTATCGGTTGTAGTGGCGGTTTAGCTCTCTTTTATAATAATGATTTTAATATCTCAATTATTTATCAAAGTAATCGGTTAATTGATATTGAAGCAACTTATAAGGGTAAAATAATTAATCTCACTTTTGTTTATGGCGACCCGGTTCCAAATAAGAGGGAACAAGTTTGGGAGCGGTTAACACGAATTGGTTTATCACGGGATACTCCTTGGTTTCTAATTGGGGACTTTAATGAATTAACCGGAAATTATGAAAAAAGAGGTGGTAAATTAAGACATGCATCTTCTTTTATCCCCTTTAACTTAATGATTCAAAATTGTGGTATGTTGGAATTTCCATATCTTGGAGACTGGTTGTCCTGGCGGGGTTGGCGAGATAAAAAACCTATACGGTGTCGCTTGGATAGAGCTTTAGCGAATGAAGATTGACATGAATCTTTCTGTAATTTTTTTTGTTGAATATTTACCAATGGTAGCTTCGGATCACTTACCGGTGATAGCTACGTTTGCGGATAAGGCACCATGTGGGAAACGGAACTTCAGGTTTGATAAAAGATGGATAGGAAAGGAAGGGTTATTAGAGGCAATTTCAAATGGTTGGAACCTTGACTCTGAACCTGGAGACGGGAAATTTGTGGAAAAATTGTCTAATTGTAGGCGAGATATTTCACAATGGAGGAGGGATTTAACTCCCTATGGTCGGCAAACAATTGAGGAGTTAAAATCATAACTAAATGTAGCACAGAGAGATGACCGGAGATCACGGGAAGAGATGATAACGGACATAACAATGAGGTTAAAAGAGGCTTATCGAGATGAGGAATTGTATTGGCACCAGAAAAGTAGGAGCTCTTGGTGCAATTAGGGGATAATAATTCAAAATACTTCCATGCTCTAACGAAGCAGAGGCGGGCAAGGAATCGGATCACGGGATTACATGATGAAAACGAGATATGGTCAACAGAGGATAAAGATGTTCAAAGTATAGCGGTCTCTTACTTTAAGGATTTATTCACCACAACTAAACCACAGGCTTTTGAGGAAGCTTTGGCAGAAGTACAACTTCTGATTACGGAACAGATAAATGAGTTTCTAACGGCACCTGCAACGGAGAGTGAAGTGAGAGCGACACTATTTATGATGCACCCGGAGAAAGCACCAAGGCCAGATGGTATGACATCTTTATTTTTCCAAAAAGCTTGGACTACCATCAAAGTAGATCTTTTATTTCTGGTCAATTCCTTCCTAGCGGATGGAATTGTTGATAAAAGACTAAATACAACAAATATTTGTCTAATCCCCAAAACGGAAAGACCGACACGGATGACAGAATTACGGTCTATTAGTCTTTGCAATGTGGGTTATAAGATTATCTCGAAGATTCTTTGTCAAAGACTTAAGACGGTTCTACCAAAACTGATTTCGGAAACACAATCGGCTTTTGTTGAAGGACGGTTAATTTCGGATAATATTCTTATTGCACAGGAGATGTTTCATGGGTTAAGGACTAATCCTTCTTGTAAAGGAAAATTTGTGGCTATTAAAACTGATATGAGTAAGGCTTATGATAGGGTGGAATAAATTTTCATTGAAAAGGTACTAAGAAAATTGGGTTTCTGTGAAAAATGGATTAACTAGATAATGTGGTGTATTACAACAGTCCAATATAGAGTTCTCATTAATGGACAACCTCGAGGACTAATAGTTCCAGAAAGGGGAATACGGCAAGGAGATCCGCTCTCTCCTTATTTATTTATTCTTTGTACAGAGGTACTAATTGCGAATATCCAAAAAGCAGAACGGGAAAAATTAATCACGGGTATTAAAGTAGCAACAGCAAGCCCTCCGGTGTCACATCTGTTATTTGCGGATGATAGTTTATTTTTTTGCAAGGCCAACAAGGATCAATGTGGGATAATTTTAGAGATATTAAATAAATATGAAGCAGTATCGGGTCAACAGATTAATTTTTTAAAATCATCAATCCAATTTGGACATAAGGTAGATGAGGACACCAAGGAAGAAATTAAATCAACCTTGGGCATCACTAACATCGGTGGTATTGGATCTTATCTCGGATTGCCGGAAAGTCTAGGTGGTTCCAAGACAAAAAATTTCTCGTTTGTTAGAGATAGATTACAAACAAGAATTAACGGATGGTCGGCAAAAATTTTATCGAAAGGAGAGAAAGAAGTGATGATTAAATCGGTAGCTGCGGCATTACCAACTTATGTAATGTCGTGCTTCAGACTACCAAAAACAATCACTTCTAAACTTACTAGTGCGGTTGCTAATTTTTGGTGGAGTTCGAATGGTGATTCAAGAGGCATGCACTGGATGGCTTGGAATAAGTTGTGTAATAGTAAATCGGAAGGGGGTCTAGGTTTTCGGAATGTAGATGATTTTAATTCGGCCTTATTAGCAAAACAATTATGGCGGTTGATCATGTTTCCGGATTCTCTTTTTGCAAAGGTTTTTAAAGGGCGGTATTTTCGGAAATCCAATCCTTTGGAATATATAAAGTCATACTCACCATCCTATGGATGGAGGAGTATCTGCTCAGCTAGATCTCTGGTTAACAAAGAACTTATTAAAAGAGTCGGATCTGGGAAATCCATCTCAGTTTGGGAGGATCCCTGGATTCCAGCTCAATTTCCGAGACCAGCAAAAGTAATGGTTCAATTATTGACCCATCTTTAAAAGTTAACAATCTGATCGATAGTCGGTCGAATTTTTGGAATATTGATCTCTTACAGACGATCTTTGATCCAAAAGATGTTGAGCTTATAAGTGCTCTCTCTGTGGGTGTGCCAACTAAGGAGGATACTTTGGGTTGGCATTTTACAAAATCCGGCAAATATACAGTCAAATCGGGATATCACACCACACGGATGGAAATATCGGAGACCAATTTATCTTTTATTGGCCCAGATATCACACCATTAAAAGCACATTCTTGGCAAGTGCAGTGCCCACCGCGGATTCGTCATTTTTTTGTGGCAAATTTTAACGGGTTGTGTACCGGTAACAGAGAATTTGAGAAAAAGAGGAATTGATTGTGACACTGGATGAGCCAGCGCATCAGAGGAAACAATCAATCATACTATCTTTCAGTGCCATCCAGCAAGACAGATTTGGACACTTTCACAGATTCCTACGGCTGTGGGTATTTTTCCCACAGATTCTATTTTTACGAATTTTGATCATTTATTCTGGAGAATACCATCAGAATATGATTCATCAGTTTTTCCATAGATTATTTGGTATATTTGGAAGGCAAGGAATGATAAAGTATTTGAAAACATAGACAAAGATCCTCCAGAGGTTTTACGGTTAGCGGAAAAGGAGGCTCAATTGTGGCAGTCGGCTCAATTAGAACTTCATAATGAAAATCTTGGTTTAGTGGATTTGGTAACTCGAACTCGAGTGAGGGATGTTTCTCTTGAGTCGAATTTTTCTGGGTATCGTTGCTTTGTGGACGGATCATGGAAAGGAAATGATAAGTTCTTTGGTACAGGGTGGTTTTGTACATCATCAAATGGAGAGCCGCCAACCATGGGAGCTGCCAACCTTCGAAGAAGTCTATCTCCGCTACATACAGAAGTCGAGGCCCTTCTCTGGGCGATGAAGTGTATGATAGGTGCAGACAATCAAGAGGTAGCTTTCTTTACAGACTGTTCAGGGCATTTTCAGTGTATTTGGAGAAATTTCAGAGCGACAAGGGCGAGTTCTCAAACTTCTCTTTATCTTTAATTTCTCGTAGTGCAAATGTAAAAGCGGATAATCTGGCACGAAAAATTCGTACAAAACCGTTTCATATCACATATGTAAACAACATTCCCCGCGAATGGCTCTTTTGAGATCTAATTAATTTCAATTGACAAAAAAAAAAAAAATCCATATTGAAGCAGCGGGTTAATGCTGTTTAAATTTTTTTTATTCAAACTCGTCCTGCAATATAACCGTCTCATGTTATTTTAACTCTCTATATATGTTCAAATGTTCTTAATATTATAACTTTTTTTAATGTATTTTAAATATATGAATTATAATATTTAAAACTTCATAAAAACTCATCACGTTATATAACCCCCTTCTAGCAATATAACCGTCTTGTGTTATTGTAACTCTTTATATATGTTCAAATGTTCATAATATTATAAAATTTTATTGATTTTAAATATATGTATAAACTTTTATTGATTTTAAATATATGAATAATATTATTTAAAACTTTTAAAAAGTTTAAAATTTAACATTTCCGATAAAATTATGAAGTTAAACTAAAAAAAGCCGAAGAAAACGGTATATAATTTTAAATTTGGATGCTTATTAAGTTGAGATTCTTGTTCATTCGGATTTAGGTTCATGTTTATTGCATTTATAATATGATTCTGAATCAACATCTAAACATTTT